TTACCCCCGGTAGAAGATTATCCATACCGGGTATAATAAGTTTATCCTTTCAGTACCCAGTTTTGGATAGACATTACCCTCGGTAGAAGATTATCCATACCGAGTATAATAAGATTATCCTTTCAGTACCCAGTTATGGATAAACATTACCCCCGGTAGAAGATTATTCATACCGGGTATAATAATCTTATCCTTTCAGTACTCCGTTATGGATAAACACTACCCCCGGTAGTAGATTATCCATATCGGGTATAATAAGCTTATCCTTTCAGTACTCCGTTATGGATAAACATTGCTCTCAGTAAAAGATTATCCATATCTGGTATAGTAGCAGCTTACACAACAACTTCCTTTTTCCTATAAATAGAAGAGATTTCAGTTCATTATGTACATGAGTTTGAATTCGAATAATATATCAGTTTCTCTCTATACTTGTCTTTACTTTATAGTCTTTATTTTATAACATGATTCAGTTAAACGGAAGAAAGCCTAACACGTGATTCAAATACGGTATGTTACTGATATATAAGAATAATAGGATAAGGTTGAGTTTTTACCTTCCACGTGGCAGTGAACTGAGGGCTTTCGACACTCCACGTCTACTCCAAAAGACGAGTTGAGCGACGAAATTGAAGGACTTTTGAGCATAGGATTGGAGAAATTTTATTTTGGGTGAGACTCACCCAACAATAGTTGTATGAGGCCTTCTCTATTTTTGACAAGTGTATTTGTGGGGTCCATTCACCAATATTGGATTGATTTAAAAGAAAAAATGAGTTAAGTGAATTTGTTGTTGATGTGGTTCCTACCTCATATATTTATATTCAATAAATAGAAAACTAAATAGATAGTACAAGAAAAATGGAGGGAAAGAGAAAACGTGGAAGCAATTTTCCCTCCTTAATTACCATTTGTGGTCATTACAATAGAGTATAGACTCCAACAAAATTTCTCATCTCTTTGAACTGTGGATCAACATAGCCCAAACGAAGGCCACAACAAATTTATATTCAAGCAAAGAAAAACGGCATTCTATCCAAACGTAATATTCCATATACATTTTGTATCTATCTGTCTTCTTCTTGTTTTTATTTTAACTTTTATTATCATAGTTTACATCTTTCTAAATTCATCTTCAGTTGCCAAAGCTTAAAAACTGAACCTTTAGAAGTTATTCATCGATATACAGAATTGTGCTCACAAAATACTCTTCTTGTCAATATCAGTGTGAAATACAAAATTGTGCTTACAAAATACTCTTCTTATCAATATAAAATTTATGTCTTCTTGTTAACAAATACAAATTTGTGCCCACTGACATTGAGACTTTTGCATTTGATCCATTTTGTTATCATACCTGCAAGAAAAATTATCAATACAAAAATATTGTTTACTATAAATTTAAAATAAGATCAATATGAACTTTTATTATCACTGTAATCTTTTAGTGCTAAAATGAGATGGTGGGCCAAATTTGCACAAAAGATTTCATTCACAATTATAGTGATAAAGAATAGTGCCTAAGAATAGACTAAATTATATCACTGTAATCTTTTAGTGATAAAGAATAGACAACAATAAAAAAAAATCTTATCAAGGACTTAGCTTCAGTATGTATAACTGGACAGGGAGGGGAATTCACTCTAAGTTTATTTTCTAATTTTGTGTTCTAAGAGGGATTTGCTTTTGTTTCCTAAAACAGCAGAAACTATTGTACCAGTGGCTAGAGGTGGAGTTAATTTCGTTATGGAGACTATGACAGTGCCTACTACTCTTGTTTCTTACCAAGATCACAATTCAAATAATGAGAAAAATTCCACAATGATACATAATGTGTATAATATCGACAAGAACTTTGCTTTTAAGATTGGCATGAAATTTGGTTCTAAAGAAGAATCATACAATGCATACAATTCCTACGCCATGGCAAAAGGGTTCGGTGTTCGAAAAGGACCAAAAACTCTTAATAGAAACAAAGAAATTACTAGATGTTTATTTCTTTGTTCTTGTGAAGGGAAATCTGACAAGCTTTCCCCTTTTCAAGAAAAAAAGCGACAAAGGTTAGAATATAAATGTGGTTGTCTGGCTCGTATAAAATTCAAAATTTCAAATGGGACATGGGAAATATGTAAATTCAATGATGTGCATAGCCATCTCATGATAGAAGAGAACTTGAGACATTTCATACAATCCGGTCGAAAGCTTACAAGTGCTACCAAAAACATTCTTGGTTCTATGGTTGATGTTGGTATTCGTGCAAAAAAAAGTTGTTCGATACCTTCAGAATGAAGCTGGTGGAATTGAAAATGCAGGATTTACTGAACAAGATGCTCATAACTTCATACAAGCGCACAAGAGAAACATGATTAGTAGTGGAGATGCTCAAACTTTGGTAAATCATTTTATGCATTTGCAAGCAGAGGATTCAAACCTCTTTTATTTTTTTCAAGTTGATGAAGATGGCAGATTGTGCAACTTCTTTTGGAGAGATAGCATATCTAGATTGCACTATGAGTATTTTGGGGATGTGATGATTTTTTATACTAGATATCGTACAAATAGATGACATGATTTGTGCTCCATTTGTTGGTGTGAATAATCATGGAAAAATGTTTTCTTTGGATGTGCATTATTGTGCGATGAAACGATTGATTCTTTTGTTTGGTTATTTCAAACATTTTTGAAGGCAATGGGAGGAAAAGCACCAAGAACAATTTTTACCGATCAAGCTCATGCCATAGCATTTGCCGTTAAAGAAGTTTTTTCTGATACATGTCATCGATTATGTGAATGGCATATTGATAGAAATGCTCAAAAGAACATACCATATCTTTACTGGAAATCGGGATTCAAAGAATATTTCGATAAACTTCTGTGGAGGTGCACTCAGAGATAAAATTTGAGTTAATATGGCAGAAAATGATAAGTGATTGGAATGTGGGAATACCACTTGGCTTCAGAAGCTATATGACTTGAGGGCGAAGTGGTGTCCCGCATTTAGTCATTTTTTTTTCTCTGCAGGTATCAGATCAACTCAAAGAAGTGAGAGCACGAATAGGGTCTTTACAGAAATGGCATGCAAGACAATGAGTATAACTGAATTTGTAAAGCACTATGAGCAACGAGCAACTGAAATGCGTGATATTGAGGAAACTGAGGATTACAAGTGTCGAGGAAAACCTAAACTTTTCATAGAAGATTGTGGGATCTTAAAGCATGTTGCTAGTGTTTACACCAGAAGAATTTTTTCCAGATTTCAACATGAATTTTTGCAAGGGACAACCAAAAAAGTAGTCAATGTTGATACTAATGGGACTTGTAGTAAGTTTACAGTTTTAAAGGGTGAAAGTGGGCAAACTGAAATCGTCCTGTTCAATTCTCTGGACAAATCAATTATTTGTAGTTGCCAGATGTTTGAATCCATGGGTTGGCTATGTTGTCATGCACTAAGAGTTTTGTTCTTTGACTTGAACTTTTTTTGTATCCCGGAGCAATACATTTTGAAAAGATAGACTAAGAATGCTAAACATAGTAATGGATTTGAGGAGTACATCAATAAGTAGGAACCGTTAAAATCCTCTATGGCAATTCGCTTAAATGGTTTAATGAAGGAGTCATTTGTAGTTATGACTTTAGCAGCAAATGATGTCGACTTCGAGGAAATTGCTAGAAAATATTTGTATCAAGCAAAGGTTGAGATAACTAAGCTCCAAAGTGCGTTATATGTAGATGGTCGTGATAAAAATCGGCATAAGTTTATTTCAACTACTGATCCTCTGCTAGGTAGTATGGATCATATTCTGGATCCAATAAAGAAAAAAGGAAAGAAAAAGGTATATGGGAGATTAAAGTCAATTACTCAGCAAAGAAGGAGAAAGACATCTCAAAAGGCATCAAAAGCTAAAGTAGGACTACCACATGCGTCCACGGGATTACGTTTTGAGGTTTAATCTCTATACATGTCAAGTTAAATATTTTTTGTTAATGGTTTTTGCACCTTTCTGTCATCTAATAATTTTAATATGTATTTTCCTTTCAATTTCAAATATGCAGCTATATGAAAATTCAAATAGTACTTTCACCCAATTGTTGACTCAAGAATCAAGCTTGCAGACAGCATGTTGCAGCCAACACCCAGCTCAAACAATAACCAGTGTCGGCATCAATTGAAGCATAATAGGACCCTCTATTTTGTGTGAATATATTTGAATCTACTTTTGTTCTCTTCCTAGGGGTGTTATTAAATAATTTACTGCAGGATATTACACTAATATGACAAGTGAATTTTGTATTTTGGTACTACTAATTTCAAGTGTAGAAGAGCTTCAACATCTAGAATCTATAATTATGAGATATCTGAAATATAATTTATTTTTGTGAGCAATATACAAAGAAGCCATAAGAGATTAAGAAAGAATTTACCTTAAATCCATGGATAAACGGAAGTAGCAGAAGATCTTTAGAATTGAGCTAAAATTTGACCGAACAGGATTAAAATTTGTTCTGGGTATTGTTTCAGTTGATAAGAACGAGAAGAAGAAGTCTTCAATTCATTTAAGATGATGTTTGTGGTTTTGCGTGGGACCCACAATCCTCTTTACTTTATTTTTATTTCATTTAATCCTTTCAGTTGGCCCACATTCACTTAACTCATTTTTTCTTATTTAAATCAATCCAATATTAGTGAATGGATCCCGCAAATACACTTGTCAAAAATAGAGAAGGCCTCATACAACTATTGTTGGGTGAGTCTCACCCAAAATAAAATTTCTCATAAGATTGTAAGTACTAAAACAAAGATTCAGTTGAGTTGAGAGATTATTTTTTTAGTGTTCAAGCCCTCTTTCGGCTGGGAGTATTTATAGATGGAACTTAGGGTTCTGATTTTTTGAGCGGGATTATTTTCAAAATGGTTGAAGGTCACGGGTTGGGGTTTTGATTTTCAAAATTACCGTTCAAGAATGGTCCAAAGTGTGGCAGAAAAGATCTGAAATCAATCGTCACTTTTTCAGATTAGAAGATTTTGTAAGAGGAGATGATTTTGAACTTTCATATGGTCAAAGGAAAAATTTCTCTTTCTCAACTATATATTCAGCGAGAGAGATCCAAAATCGATGGAAGAAGAAAGAAAAGAGTCGTTTTACACATGTGAATATTGATCCTCGATTTCTCATATCGATGCAAGAGCTGCACGAAAATGGCTAAACACTACTGACTTGCGGTGAAAAGGCTTTGGAATTTTGCTCAAAAATAGTGGAGGCATAGAGTACGACTGGTTTGGAGGAGATTAGGAGACTTAGTTTTTAGTTACTTGGGCTGCTGGATAATGTGATGGACATTAGGGTATGATGAGCTGCTGAAATGTGGTGATATGAAGGCTTTGTTTGGGCCGAAAATCATGGCCTTTTCCTTCTTCAAATTAATTTAATTGGGCTCCCATATCTTAATAATAATTTGGACTCAATAAAATAGGAATTTTTATCTGGCTATACTATAATAGAAATCTATTTACTATCTTTATTTAGGTTCCTTATTAATTACTTTATATACCTATATTTATTAGTTTTATACAAAACCATAAAAAGGAGAAAATACAACATACCTTAAATACTGAGTATCAGTTACACATAATCCCCCTACATTTAAGATACTCTTCCTTTTTCAAAGGATTACAAAATATCATCTGTCTTTGTGCTTACCCACCGTAAGAAACCCACTGATACCCGAATCATCACCTCTTTCATACAAATCAACTAATCTCTCTCTCTCTCTCTCTCTCTCTCTCTCTCTCTCTCTCTCTCTCTCTCTC